GAGATCAACGGCTCGTCTGAAGCCGTTCTTCACCAAAGACGTTCAGGGAAAAGGACTATTTGACCATTTCCAAAAGATTTAAGGGTCTTGTGAAGATGTTGAAGAGAAATCAGGACTGTGCGTGACGAGTGCTCACATGCTGATCACAAACACTCTGTGTTATCCATGCCAGACAAGTCATTTGTTGAGGTCACCTTGTAAAGAAAGACTACACGCCTGCGCACATTGAAACGCGCATATCTGTAGACTAAACACGTAGCATGCATCATGTACGCGTCAGCGTTCTCACAGATTCACGTTATCGAAGTTTACGCAGAGATGATCACATTTTCAACATTTTTCAGCGCTTGCACGTTGGATCCTGTTTCAAGGTGTGTGTTCTCGAGCTCAAACACTGATGTGTGGATGAACGGCCGGGACACATTACGGGTTTCTGTCTTCAGTAGAGCGGCGTCGTGTTAGCGGCCGCTAAATTAATAACTAATGATCTTTACGAATCAAACTAACTTTATCTGGACCGTAATTTTATTCTAGATCTGCTGTAAAGACTAAACAATCTCTGTTACTGTAATCTCCTGTTATCACTGTAAAGCTGCTGTGAAATGTAATATATAATTGAAAAAAAAAGCTCTATATAAATGAAGGCGAATTAACTAAACAGAGAAATCTGCAACATTTTTAGATCTTAAATGAGGTTTAGTGCTGGAGAAATGCTGGAAGCTATCGGAGGATTGTTTTTCACAGAATTATCAATTCAAACACGTACAGGCTATAGATTCAGGCTATTAAAAGTACAGCTTTGAGTGATGAATAATTTACCGTCCTTCGCACCAATGATCTCACTATACAGCCTGATATGAACGAAGCTATTGTGGATCCCACAGTGCGGGAGAGTTTGTCTTAGTTTAACAGCTGAAGAAGAGCACCTTCAGTGAGGAAGAGGAGGAGCCTTTCTTACTTCATTGCTGTATTTATGATCAGTCCATATACATTAACATTTGTGCTTAATGTCGTCGGGAAAATCTCAACATTTGACTGTCACTTTCTTTTAGACTAAAAAGGTCCCGCTCCGTTCAGCATTCGTTTCTTGGACGTATTCAATGAGCAGTTTACAAAAATACAAGCTTTTCACCGGCTCTTTTCCCTCAGGACACAATTATTTCCAGCAGCTCATTATGTTCGTGCCGGACAGGATCTCTGTGTTTCTGGAGGAATATCTGTGAACACTGACACAAGCTTTCAGACACACACGGGTTATTCTGCAGAAGGGTGTTATATTGTTTAATATTTACTCACACAGTGGAAAAGGACATAAAAATGAATGATTCTGCTCACTTTGGGGTGCCATGTTTGATTGGATTACCTCACACTGCGCATGCCTGCAGTAATCTCGAAGATCACTAGCGCCATCTGCCGGTCACTTCCGGTTCAGGTTTCAGTCACACAGTCCCATGTAACAACATAGGAAATTATTTTTTGGATAAAATAGCCCAGTACTCCATTGTTTCAAAACAGTACAGCTAAGTTAGTGGCTCGGATGTTTATAGCGTAGGCTAAAAACAATGCAAAATGAAATGGTAACAGTTTACAATAAGTTAACATGAACTTATACAACATTTATTTATCTTATGTAATGTTAATTTTAACATTTACAAATACATTATTAAAATCAAAAGTCGTATTATTGAATGAACCTGAGCTGACATAATCATCAACACAAGGTTTGTGTGAACCAACATTGACGAAGATTAATAAATAGGCCACTGAAACTGGAAAAAGAAGAGCACAGATCCCAGGAAGAGGAAGAAGAGGAGCACAGATCCCAGGAAGAAGAAGAGGAGCACGGATCCCGGGATGAAGAAGAGGAGCACGGATCCCGGGATGAAGAAGAGGAGCACGGATCCCGGGAAGAAGAAGAGGAGCACGGATTCCGGGAAGAGGAAGAAGAGGAGCACGGATCCCGGGAAGAAGAAGAGGAGCACGGATTCCGGGAAGAGGAAGAAGAGGAGCACGGATCCCAGGGAGAAAAAGAGGAGCACGGATCCCGGGATGAAGAAGAAGAGCACGGATCCCAGGAAGAGGAAGAAGAGGAGCACATTTGATTTATGATTCATTTGGCCACTTTCTTGGTTTTGGTATTTTTCTGGAAACACAATTGTTTAATAAAGCCCATTTAATGTTGGCCTTTGAATCGTGCAAATCACTGGTCCTAATTCATTAATGCTTATACAGCTTTTCCAGCATTTTGAAGTGTTAAAACGAGCATTATGATTATGAATATGCCTGTGCAAACATTTATTAAGACCGAAGTCTTGAGTAACACCCTGATCATCCGAAACCAGTTGACCTCGTCCTCAGGGTGGACTGGTCATCGGGCAGACTGGACTCTTTCCTGCTGGGCCGATACATCTAAATATATGAAGAGTTCAGATGCAAAAGCCTCTAAGTGCCATTTGAAATTTTCTTCTAGAATGATCATTTTTATCAAGCTTGTATATTTAAGTTCAGTGATTTGGCAAATGGCAATGATAATTACCTATTAATTGTTATTTAAGTGAAATTACTGAACTTAAATATACAAGTTTGATAAAAATCATCATTAAAGAAGAAAATTTCAAATGGCATTTAGAGGCTTTTGCATCTGAACTCTTCATATATAGCCTATATATATGTATGTATGTGTATGTATATATATATATATATATATATATATATATAGCTAGGCTTAATGGGCTATATGCACGCATAAGTTCCGCATTTGACGCAAGGATGCTCGTCCATTTCCGGTTGTGGAGATTAAAGCGGAGGAGAACTGAGGAAAACGGGATTATGGCAGAGTCTTCAATATTTACTGTCCTCCCGTCTTTGAAATGAAACGTACATACGTTTAGATGTAGTTTTATATATAGTTATATTTATTTAATATAATTTTAAAAAGAAGCATAAACACAACGAGGGGTGTCTGTTTTATCTGTTTTTGTGACTAACGTTTCTTTAGTATAACCATGGAGTATAAAATTCAATATAAATTCTCGGTATTGCATTGGACTCTACGATCGGCGGAAGTTATCGAGCATCCTTAATCCTTCACCGGAAATACCGCCGTGCATAGAGCCAGAGAAAGCATAGATATCATAGAGACTAGATACCCTATTGGCCGCTGGAAAACGAGAAATCCGGCCGCCATCTTGAACCGGTCGTCTTCCTAGTCTCGTTGCAGCAGATGAGATGCCAGAGCACTGTGGAGCATTTTCCTGTTCTAATCGCCGGACCACCGAAAATAGGGCTTTTCACAAGTAAGTCTTAACATTACCGTACTATTGGTTGTATTTTGTGAATAGAATATTACCGGATAATCGAGAAGGAGCAAGGATATTTGCTATTACTGTACTGAAATCGTTGTGAAATGCTGTTTACTGCATCAGCCGGTGTTCACCCGGCATGGAGAGGTGGGGTAACTGTTAAAGTAATAATTACAAGAGCTTCTAGGTTATCAGATAAGCATTCAACTGCCCATAGGTTATTTGTGTTTGCGCACATCAGGAAGCAACGTAATATACACGCATGACAGCGATGCGCAAATTGAGTAAATTGTACCGCTCCAACTTCTAGTTTTATTGATAACCTATATCTTACCACATGCGATTTGGCTATTGATATTACAGAAGTCCTGTGGTAAAATCACATTAACTCACCCCATCTACCCTTGTAAAGTTAGTCTTTAGTCTCGACATTTTACCCTCCTACATCCACATACAATAAAAAAGGTATAGGCTTAATGGTGTCCGAATTTAATTTTTAGAAATTAACGGTACTGATGCAAACACGTTAAAAAGCTTCTTCTCAATTTTTATTACAGGTGGCTGCGTTCTCTGTGTGTGAAAGTGTGTGTGTGTGGGTGTGTGTGAGAGAGAGAGAGAGAGAGAGTGAGAGAGAGAGTGTGTGTGTGTGTGTGTGTGTGTGTGTGTGTGTGTGTGTGTGTGTGTGTGTGTGTGTGTGAGAGAGAGAGAGAGTGTGTGTGTGTGTGTGTGTGTGTGTGTGTGTGAGAGAGAGTGAGAGAGAGAGAGAGAGAGAGAGAGTGTGTGTGTGTGTGTGTGTGTGTGTGTGAGAGAGAGTGAGAGAGAGAGAGAGAGTGTGTGTTTGTGCGTGTGTGTATGTGCGTGTGTCAATCATAAACTGTTTCTTCAACTTATTAAAATATCTTACTTTACTGCTATTATCTGTTTCTGCTTCTTTATTATATTTATAGTGTGTGAATTATAAAATACATGATATCCTTCATCACATATATTCCCACATAGCAATTTTTCTCTGGCCCAGCTCCGGCCCACACAACCAGTTTTTGCTTGGCCCACATACCGCAATGAATGACGGTCCTAGTGTGGACCAGGTCTGGATTCCAGACAAGGGCCACACATGGGCCATAACTGGCCCAAGTCTCAGCCAAGTTACTTATCCATAACTGGCCCAGAATTGGGCCAGATCGAAATGTACATAGCAAAATTGGTTTGGCCCAGTGATGGGCCACACAACCCACTTTCACTTGGCCCAAATACAGCAATGAATTACGGTACATGACTGGACCAGGTCTGGTTGCCAGAACTCGGGCCACATGTGGCCCATGGCATAGCCATATCTCAGCCAAAGGTATGACTATAGCTGGCCCTATTCTGGACCAGGTCTGGTAGCCAGAACTCGGGCCACATATGGCCCATGGCATAGCCATATCTCAGCCAAAGGTATGACTATAGCTGGTCCTATTCTGGTCCTTTGCAGGACCAAACAATTCATGTCAGCCTCAACTGCATGATCTAGCCACTTTATATACACTCTGCTCAGCTGAAAAATGTCTGAAACACAACAGTATTCTTAAATTTTTTTTATTTTTTCACATTTAAACAAAACAATTTACAAAAAACAAACAAACAAACAAACAAACAGATTCTCTGGATCATCATTAATAACACATTATAATAACATCCCTGCTCATTTTCCATTAGTTTACCAACTAGCCTTAATGCCCTTCTTCATGAATTACCCCTATCATTGTACATCCAAGTCTTTTCCATACCGTGGCTTTACTCAGATCTTTTGTTCTTGAACCTGAAACAAACACAAAAGAGAATATTATAAATTGAAAAAATAGTTATATAAATTATTAATAATATAGGTAACACTTTACAATAAGGTTCATTAGTTAAGATTAGTTAATGCACACACACACACACGCACACACGCAAAACAAAAACAGTCATAAATGAATGAGACAACAAGGTCCATGTAAGTTTTGATAAGTTTGTTTTTCAGTTTAAAATGAAATAAGCAGAAACAAGAATTTTTTTTTTTAATTAAACAAAAATATAAGATTTTGACTATATTTTCCTTTTGGTTCACAGCTGAAATCTTCTTTTTTTTTATTTCTTCTTATTTAATTTCAAAATGAAAGACAAACTATCAAAACCCATAAACCCATTTTCTCAATTGTTACATAATTATCAAACAAAAATTGTAACAAGTTGCATAATGAGTGAGACCACAACAAAATCCACAATGGATTAGAAATGCAAACACACACACACACACACACACACACAACAGTTTGATGTCAAATGTTTAGGAGGCTAAAATCTAATTTCTCTTTTACTCACCATGGCTATCTTACATTTAGGCTACTTGCTAAAAAATACAGTCAAGCTGTTATTCAAAACTTTTAACTGCAGTGTATATGATAATAACATATAATCGCTGTAATGATGTAGCATAATTGCAAAAAAATGTATGTTTCATAAATGTTAAACTTTTTTTGTATGTGTAGTGTTACAAAAGGCCTAATTTTATCTCTCTGTGTCTCTGCATTTTTGAAAGGGCCTTGTCGTGAATGATGTTTATAACACAAATTAGCATTAAAATGATCAAACTTAAAATTTGATAATCTCTATAGAAGATATAAATATCATAAGAGGCATAAAATTGTTAAAATCCTCAAATCAATAGAATATAAACAAAATTTATCAATATCCTTATGATATTTATATTTTTGTGTGATGTTTCAGGTGCCAATTGCTGCTACAGTATACATTTTAGTATGTTAATCCATCAGTGTATGTCACAAAAATTGAAATAAATAAATGGCTGTGTTATAAAATAAAGATGTCTGATGTCATCTAACGATATATGTAATCGACGAACATTTAACTTAGTCAACTTCTACATTTTAACTAACAGCTACAATTACAATGTGACACGTCTTTAACATTTAACTTTCCGACTATAACCTGTACGTTACTCAAACTAACTCTAAAATTAAAAATGATCACTTACCAAACTTCGCTGGCTTTGAGGTGAGAAGTCTGCAACCGTTAGTGAAATGCAGTCAAGTGCATCAGTGCGCGCCCACTTCAAACTCCTGTTTATGTTCAAACTTCGGCAGCGCTGTATCCGGAAGTGTCAATATATAAAAACTACAAACCCATGAAGCATTGCGGTTTAGGCGCGTTTCTGGGCGCGTTTTTCTAGATGCGACCTGATTGGTAAAACTTTTAATTTTTTTTTTTTTTTTTTTTTTTTGGCATATTAGGACGTTGTAAGAAAGAAGAAACGATTGACATTCTTGTGCATGATATGAGACAATCAAACAATTAAACTTATATTGTATATTTAAAATGTATGGTTTTCATAATTTAAATTATTATAGATTAAACCTTGTTAATAGAGAGCAATGCTGCAAACAGGAATAGGGGAAACAGCTATGTTTATGATAATATTATCAATTATAAAATATCTGAAATTACATTTTAACTGTGGGATAAGTCAGGCCACATATCTGGGCCATATTTCTATATTTTACGTGTGAGCCAAATAAAACATTTAAACATGGCCCATATTCTGTTTGTTTTCCCATACAGCCATGGCCCAAAAGAATGTTTTCCCATTCAGAAAAGTCATATATTCACAAATATGTCAAACACTGTAAAATATATTGAAATACATTTTGAAAATATATTTTTGTTAAATAACATGTTAACATGTTCACTGTAAAATATATTTTACAGTGTTTCACATATATGTGAATATATTACTTTTCTGTGTGGGAAAACATTGGGCTTTTACTCAAAAACATTTTAAAAGGATTTTAAATGTGGCTCAAGATTGGCCATATACGTATGGCCCACATATCTATATTTAACATCTGGGCCAAATACTCCATTTGACATCTGGCCCATGTCATGGGTGCCGTCTTAAATCCAGTGCCATCTCTGCCAAACCCGGGCCATGTTTGGCCCACATGCTGTATGCCAGTGCCGGATGAATGCCAGCTGTGCCAGACACATGCCAAATCTGGGCCAGAATTCTTTGCTACCTGGGTTGTGTCTGGTCACTTTATATCTTATATCAGAATATTATATTACTGTTAACCTACAATGGATATTAAAATACGCCGAACCATGTGTCCTGTATCATAGCTACATGAATGACCTTTGCAGCAAAAAAAAAAACGCGTGAAAATCAGTTCAGTATTCAGTGAGATATGATTAATTTAATGCGCTGACAGCTCATTTCACCTGCCATTCAGATTGCACTGAGCGGAGCGGATGACCGGTTCAAGATGGCGGCTCCAATTCTCGTCCGTGCCAATAGGCAGTAGCGGTCTATAGGGCGTCTACCTATATGATGTCTATGAGAGAAAGTCTAATATGACGAGAACTCCCACTCACATTAAACTTCCGGGTTCTGAACTGTTGCAGTTCCACTCTGGTTCCATATGAGGGCGCTCACAGGCGGAGTGCAGAATGAATGGAGGTCTATGGAGCAATACCCCTAAAAATCCACTTTTCTCAGGATATAATTTTTTGTCTAGTAATTCAGATGTTGTTTTAGAAAGAAGATCCAAATAAATTACTAGGTGTTGGATTTTTTTAGAGTCACTTATTTGCTTTAAAAAGTCTTTTAAAAATGTCAATGACGTCATACACATCGTACGACCAGAGACCTGCTTTACGGCTGGTGCTTCCGCGCATTGACAGATGAGAGAAGCCGCGAAACTTAAAAATACTACTGTTATTGTGTGACGAAATGTGGTTTTAATAGTTTTTCAGTCGAGAATGTAGTTGTTTAAAGCTCAAATCTGTGGTTTATTTATAAAAATAGCGCCTATTTAAAAATTCGATCTTACGTTTTCGGAGTGTGACATCCAAGGCTTTACCGGCGTCTCAGCGCTCCGCACCCCGCCTGGATCAGCCTTACCTCGGTTAGTGCTTCTGACATTTGCCGCTGGCTCTGAAGTCTCGTCTTGTGGTTAAATATGACATATAATTCGTCTTGTGTATATCTAACGGGCGATCTTTGCTCTCATTAATCGTAGCAGCTATAATTTTTTTCCTTGGCAAACCGTTTTGGCTGACGGCAAAGTGAAGTTTCATAACTTTATATTGTGGCTATTTTAATGTTGTATCCTGCTGTGTCTGAATCGTTTACTTTATTTCTTGTCTTGTATAACTCTTCTTATACCTTTTAGGCTACTTATACTGTTATGTCTCTTACTGATCAGTAAAACTGAAAAATAGACAGGGTTGTGTCATTCATTTATTTTATACCTACCCTATATTTTATATACTAGCCTTTTCATTACTATTTTATTTGCTGTATACTGTTTTGTGTAATATATTGACTAAACTATTTAATATTACTTCTCAATTTATCATTTTACTGTTTGCACTGCACTGTAGTTGTACCATATCGTATTACCATAGATAAAAGATCTATCAGTTATCTTTGTTATTGCTGAAATCAATCGAAAACCATCGCAGCAACGCTCCAAAGCGGCCAATAGTATGTATTTATTATGTCTATGCTTTTGCGTTCATTCTGCACTTTCTTTTCTCTTAAGGCAGCGACAACACCGCTGACAGGTAAATCGTTTAGACTGTAAGGTAAATACATGTGTGAGAGTTCAGTCCGCCTTAACATTGGTCCCGCTATGCCACGATGCCATCAAGCGGTGTCTCTGGTCGTAATCAGTCCTTCACTGACCAATCAGCGTCCATTAGCAGAATGCTAGCGTGTTATAGGCAACAACAACTCAACCTGTAAGAAATCAAAATGACAGAAGTACTCGTTCATTCAACTTTTGACCTATAACCCATGTTGGACTTGCGAAACCTACATTCAAATCTGAGATTTCTCAATGACAATCGGGTGAAAGAGACAAATTTAGCCGTTTAGCCCCATAGACTCCCATTCATTTTGCACTCCGACTATTGCCCCCAGTGGAACTAAGAGTGAACAGGCTTTCCGTAGACTGGCTTTGGTAACACGTGTGATGAAAACATCCGCTTATGCTTCGAATGGGCGGTCCTTCACAGAGCTGCTATAAAGCTGGAAAAATAAATCCTGTCTAGCTCATATCCATTGATCTGGTTTAATTATAGGATATATTATATCATATCATATTATATTATATTATATTATATAGGCAAAATCTGTTGTCCTTGTTTTTCAAAGACACGTAGCTTTATTTTAGCCAGAAGAACTGAGTAGAATCAATCATATGTGTATTTAATCGTTAAATTGTTTTTATTTCTATTAGGATTTCAAGGTATTATTATAGTATTATTATTTTTCCTTAATCAATGCGAGTAAACAATAGATAAGGTTCCACCGAGATTTGAACTCGGATCGCTGGATTCAGAGTCCAGAGTGCTAACCATTACACCATGGAACCATTTTAGATCTATACTGACAAAAATTAATATTAAATTATTATTATTATTAAATATCCGCGTAGTTTTTCCTCTACGTAGCAATTGAGAACACATTATAAATAATTAACCCATCTTCGTAAGACCTCAGATCAACTGGTTGAATGCACAGTGGTGTGTAACGTTAAATATGAAAGCAAAAGTAATCACCCCAGATGGGACTCGAACCCACAATCCCTGGCTTAGGAGGCCAGTGCCTTATCCATTAGGCCACTGGGGCAGAGACAGTATAAATATGGAACAGCTTCATACTTAAACAATGATTAAGGTGGCGCTTCCTCTTTTTCTTCTTTACTTCGCATTTTGTCATCTACAACATCAGTTACGCTCCTGTATATATAAAACTTTAGCAAAAATCGCCTGTTTCTTGTAGCACAGAAATATATACTATAAAGTAACAATAGCGATTGGCAAAACTCTGACAGGCAGACAGACAGGCAGACAGACAGACAGTAGGCACTTTATTTCCTGACAGACAGTCATAATGTTAAACTGTACTGGGTAGCATTAGCATTAGCCTACAGCTCTAGGAATGCCGTCCTCTAGTTAGGGCTACAGTCTTTTCGTTTTGATTAGACAAATAATATAAAGCACTATGAATTTATTACCATCAAATCCTCACGGTAATGGATTACTTTATGCTGGATTTAACCAGGATCACGGTAAGATGTTTACTATTAGCTAACGCAAGCTAACATCACTCGAGTCTGATACTTACCGTTCCCGTTATGAATCTGAGGCTAGAGAACTGATATTTACAGTACACATTAAAACACATCAGTGTTCTCATTTAGTTTGTTGCTGCCAATCCAAGCGTCTAGTTTTAAAATGTGTTAAACTTGATTAACATGACTTTTTAAGCTAGCGAACAGCTGGTTAGCCACAAAATCACATGAGTGTTTTCCTTTAGGGCGGCTGTCAGCGTTTTATGTTGGGTTTTTTTAATTGACCAACAATTGTAGCTATATTTGAGTATCGACTGTAATGTTGAAAAAAAGTGACCACAAGTTAGGTTATCAAGTAATCAAGGTTATCAGTAAGTTACTTTTCAAGTAAACAAACACTGACCGTTGATGTAGCGGCTAACTGTAATAGCGACAGATTTAGTGTTTATCAGAGCAATTGGATTTCAATCAACCCAAACAACACACTATAATGTAAAGTGTTTTTAAAGTCTATCTAAATCCTATTACGTGCGTTATGCGATGAGTTAATACCTATGCCACAATATGGGCTCAGATAACGGTATTATAGCCAATTAGCTTACGCATTTATGCAGAAATTTCTCTCTGTTGCAGTGACATTTACCGCTAATAATCATAATTGGGTGTGAATTAGCTGTTCTGAAGCTTTAGATCTCAATGTTTAATCTAGTCCTAAAATATTTTTGAGCTATTTTAACTAAAAACATACCGTAAAATATGTCACTGCCACTGTTTGTCTCAGGATTCACACCAGTAATGTGTTTTTCTAGGACACTATTATAAAAGCTACCCAATTGAGCTAAGGTTTAATCCTGGTTTAATCTAAGCCCTGTATGTGAAACCAGACCTAAATATCCATCAATCTCTTAGTTGTACTTAACGCTGTAATCGCTTCCCAGGCAGAGGAAAATAAATGGATTCTCATAAATAAACTAGGTTCTGAATCCGCACAGAGGCACACAGGCTTGATGATCTGATGCTGAAATGTTTCTTTTGCCACCAGGATGTTTTGCGTGTGGAATGGAGAATGGATTCAGGGTTTATAACACAGACCCGCTCAAAGAAAAAGAGAAACAAGGTGAGTCTGTAGTGTTTGTTCACAAGATGCAGATGGACAGAAACACTTCAGATCAGACGGCAATATGTGGAAGTTAGCAACTACCTTAGATTTTTGCCTGTGTGATTTTTAAAATTTGCTTCATATTAATGAATACAGCTGAGGGAAAATATGCATTAGTGTTTAGTTCACTATCGTCTGAAGAAGGCATGATGACTGAGGAGTAATTTCCCAGTGCAGAAACAGACAGTGGAGATCTGTCTCACACACACACGTTAGCAGCAGTTATTGATTCATATTGATTCATTCCAGTGTGAGTTTATGGGATCTAGTGTGAGGTTATGGGATCCAGCGTGAGGTTATTGGATCTAGTGTGAGGTTATGGGATCTAGTGTGAGGTTATGGGATCCAGCGTGTTGTTATGCGATCTAGCGTGAGGTTATCAGATCTAGTGTGAGGTTATGGGATCCAGTGTGAGGTTATTGGATCTAGTGTGAGGTTATGGGATCCAGCGTGAGGTTATGGGGTCCAGCGTGAGGTTATGGGATCCAGCGTGAGGTTATTGGATCTAGTGTGAGGTTATGGGATCCAGCGTGAGGTTATGGGGTCCAGCGTGAGGTTATGGGATCCAGCGTGAGGTTATTGGATCTAGTGTGAGGTTATGGGATCCAGCGTGAGGTTATGGGGTCCAGCGTGAGGTTATGGGATCCAGTGTGAGGTTATGGGATCCATTGTGAGGTTATGGGATCCAGCGTGAGGTTATGGGATCTAGCGTGAGGTTATCGGATCTAGTGTGATGTTATGGGATCCAGTGTGAGGTAATGTGATCCAGCGTGAGGTTATGGGATCCAGTGTGAGGTTATGGGATCCATTGTGAGGTTATGGGATCCAGCGTGAGGTTATGGGATCTAGCGTGAGGTTATCGGATCTAGTGTGAGGTTGTGGGATCCAGCGTGAGGTTATTGGATCTAGTGTGAGGTTGTGGGATCCAGCCTGAGGTTATGGGATCCAGCGTGAGGTTATGGATCTAGTGTGAGGTTGTGGGATCCAGCGTGAGGTTATTGGATCTAGTGTGAGGTAATGGGATCCAGCGTGAGATTGTGGGATCCAGCGTGAGGTTATTGGATCTAGCGTGAGGTTATCGGATCTAGTGTGAGGTAATGGGATCCAGCGTGAGGTTGTGGGATCCAGCGTGAGGTTATGGGATCTAGCGTGAGGTTATCGGATCTAGTGTGAGGTTGTGGGATCCAGCGTGAGGTTATTGGATCTAGTGTGAGGTTATGGGATCCAGTGTGAGGTTATGGGATCCAGCGTGAGGTTATGGGATCCAGCGTGAGGTTATGGATCTAGTGTGAGGTTGTGGGATCCAGCGTGAGGTTATTGGATCTAGTGTGAGGTTATGGGATCCAGCGTGAGGTTATGGGATCCAGCGTGAGGTTATGGGATCCAGCGTGAGGTTATGGATCTAGTGTGAGGTTGTGGGATCCAGTGTGAGGTTATTGGATCTAGTGTGAGGTTATGGGATCCAGCGTGAGGTTATGGGATCCAGCGTGAGGTTATGGATCTAGTGTGAGGTTGTGGGATCCAGCGTGAGGTTATTGGATCTAGTGTGAGGTAATGGGATCCAGCGTGAGATTGTGGGATCCAGCGTGAGGTTATTGGATCTAGCGTGAGGTTATCGGATCTAGTGTGAGGTAATGGGATCCAGCGTGAGGTTGTGGGATCCAGCGTGAGGTTATGGGATCTAGCGTGAGGTTATCGGATCTAGTGTGAGGTTGTGGGATCCAGCGTGAGGTTATTGGATCTAGTGTGAGGTTATGGGATCCAGTGTGAGGTTATGTGATCCAGCGTGAGGTTATGGATCTGCTGTGGACTCAGTGCTTCTCTGTTCGCAGAGTTTCTGGAGGGAGGAGTCGGGCACGTGGAGATGCTTTTCCGATGCAATTATCTTGCACTTGTTGGAGGCGGGAAAAAGCCGAAGTACCCTCCCAATAAAGGTATATTTCTCTTTGAGATGGATGCTGGTCGAAGGCTTTATGGCATAATTTGCTAAAGTTGTGAACAAGGTAACACACATTTAGTGCATGTTCTACTGAATTATGGGTACTAATCTGTAAAAACATATGTTTGCATGTGTCCTGCATTTGTGTTAGTGATGATATGGGATGATCTGAAGAAAAAGACTGTGATAGAGATCGAGTTTTCCACCGAGGTCAAAGCTGTGAAGCTTCGCCGTGACAGGTATCAAACTCAAGCTCAAGTTCCTTTAATTGCAGTTAATAGCTTAATCCTTGGTAGCATATTTGTTAGATTTTGATGCTGAAAATATCTGACATCTGATATGAGTTTCAAACCTGTAGAGTTTCTTTGTTCTGATGAATGCAAAATAAGTTATTTTGAAGAATACTCTACGATCCTCTGACTCTAGCTTTCCCGTCGTCCGTCAGCATCGCCTTGCATCAGTTCACTTATTTTCTGAATGTTATAATTCTTAAGTTGTACTGCATTTTTATTTATTTTTTATGTATTCTGCCTAGCAAACTATTATTATAATCTGACTTTAGCCGTTGATTTCTATGCTGGGAAAAAACTAAAGTCAGATGTCTTATTACCAACATTTTTCAAAATAACTTCTTTTGCGTTAACAACATAAGTGAGAAACTCGTACTGCATTGGAACAGCTTGAGGGCAAGTGAGTGACAGAGTTTTCATTTTTGGGTGAACTGTCCCTTTAAGAAGATTCAACGGTCCAATAGCATCCGATAGCACGAGTGCCGTTTGGCTTCTGTAGCGTCATATTAAATATATCAGCATTAGAGCCATAATTTCAGGTTACTCACCCATCCTGACACTGACGGACAAATATTGTACAGCAAAACCAATCAAATTTTCATGATTTGATGCCATAACAAAAAATCTGGACTGAAACAGTACTTAAAGTTATCACATAGCGTTAAAATATTTTTCATTAATGTAAATATTGTTTTTGTAAAGTGAAGAAAATGTGAAAAGTCAGTAATAAAATGAATAACAAAGGATCGCATTACAATGAATAAATCAAAGAGTGTTTTTTTAGAGGCTTATTAAAGCGACCGATGTAATTATTGGTGGTTATCGCTCAACACACGCTTCAATATCACACACACACAAATAAAAACAGTGCATTAACACTGGCACATCCGGCCACACTGTTCTGTAGCCTGTGGAAAACATTAACACTCCTCTTCACGTTCCTCCTCGCTGAGTCTGCTTGTGTTTCAGGATCGTGGTGGTCCTGGATTCCATGATTAAAGTCTTCACGTTCACCCATAACCCTCATCAGCTGCACGTGTTCGAGACCTGCTATAACCCCAAAGGTACGCCAGCGCGCTCACACACTTTAGCATGCTAGTCAAGCATAAGATCTGTGTGTTCTCACTCTGATCGTCTCTGCAGGTTTGTGTGTCTTGTGCCCAAACAGCAACAACTCTCTGCTGGCGTTCCCGGCCACACACTCAGGACACGTGCAGATCGTGGATCTGGCCAACACCGAGAAGCCTCCGCTGGACATTCCCGCGCACGAGGGCTCCCTCTGCTGCGTAGCGCTAAACCTGCAGGGCACGCGCATCGCCACCGCGTCCGAGAAGGTGCGCACACTGGAGACTGCTTTCGGGAAACACACCGCTGACTGATCATGTGACTAGATGGATCTCTAACTCCGCGTGTGTGTGTGTGTTTTCAGGGAACCCTGATCAGGATATTCGACACCTCGGCTGGGCAACTGATCCAGGAGCTGCGGAGAGGATCACAGACCGCCAACATATACTGGTAATCCACACACACACACACACACCTCTCTCTCTCTCTCTCTTTCTCTCTCTCACACACACCCACCTCTCTCTCTCACACACAGCTCTCTCTCTCTCACACACACACACACACTCCTCTCTCGCGAGCCGCATTCGGGCTTATAACTGAGTGTGTGTGTGTGTGTTTCAGCATCAATTTCAACCAGGACGCGTCTCTGATCTGCGTTTCCAGTGATCACGGCACAATCCACGTTTTTGCAGCGGAGGATCCCAAGAGGAACAAGCAGTCCAGGTGTGTGTGTGTGTGTGAGTGTGTGTGTGCTCGTCAGGCTCTGGTGTTTCTGCTAATGTGTGTGTGCGTTCTCCGTCTCGCTCACGTCTCTCGCCCGTCCTCCTCAGCTTGGCGTCCGCCAGTTTCCTGCCCAAGTATTTCAGCTCCAAGTGGAGTTTCTCCAAGTTCCAGGTGCCGTCCGGTTCTCCCTGCGTCTGTGCCTTCGGGACCGAGCCCAACGCTGTGATCGGTATCAGCACACGTCACACATCAGCTCATATTATTACATGAACGTGCATGTTCCCACTGACCCCATCCCCAACTCTTCCAGCTATCTGCTCCGACGGGAGCTACTACAAGTTCCTGTTTAACCAGAAGGGCGAGTGTTCGAGGGACGTGTACGCGCAGTTCCTGGAGATGACCGACGAGAAGATCTGAACACACACACACTACTTCACTTTACCCGAGTCTGGGAGATTCCCGGATAGGGAAGGACTCCGGTGGGACACGAGCGGAGGGAACTAAACACTGTCCACACTCGAGTCTCTCCTGACTGGAGCAGGACTGCGAGAGTGACTGACGAGGGAAACCTTATTTTGTGACGGGACACTTTTTAAACCGGTCTTCCGTGGGTCCAGCGTCCCGGCGCTGACGGACCTGATGTAGGAGTGCCTCTGCATCATTCACACACTGCATTTGCAAACTGTTTCTTAGTGTTAGATATTGTTTTTCTTGCTGTAAGAACACCAGATTAAAATCACCAAACTACATGTAATATAGGCTAGTATTACGAAACAGACATTTTTTGGTGTAAATATGTGCTCCTCGTTTCATGCTATATTTGCTGGCTTTAAGGAAATCTAATCAGTGTACAGGATATGCTTCGGTAATTATCACACGAGAGACGTGACAGATCTTCTCCACATTTACACTCCTAATGGTTTCAAATAAAATGGTCAGCTTTTTCCCAAATTAACCCAGAAGAACTGCATTGCTACTTTAAAAAGGGTAAATGTTTGGAGCTTGTAAAGTCTTGCAGTAATTCTCTGAACCAGAAGTGCCCATCTCATCACCCGCTGAAGAACAGTGTCTTCACTCTTATTACTGTTCTTTCAGATGTATCTGAGCTGTTTTGTTACTCATTTGATGCTTTTGTCATTGATTACGTGCAAGTGATGCGCATAATTTCATGAAGATGATGCACACAATTCAGTATCATGACAAATTAAAGACGATTGTAAACAATTAGGAATGGCAAATCGTTCATGGCACTGTTGACGTGTAACTCTAGCAGGGTTTGGGTTAGAGAGTTGGTTCAGGGTTGGGTTAGCAGACTGGGTTTGGGTTAGGGTTGGGTTAGCAGACTGGGTTTGGGTTAGAGAGTTGGTTCAGGGTTGGGTTAGCAGACTGGGTTTGGGTTAGGGTTGGGTTAGCAGACTGGGTTTGGGTTAGGGTTGGGTTAGCAGACTGGGTTAGGGTTGGGTTAGCAGACTGGGTTTGGGTGAGGGTTGGGTTAGCAGACTGGGTTTGGGTGAGGGTTGGGTTAGCAGACTGGGTTTGGGTTAGGGTTGGGTTAGCAGACTGGGTTTGGGTTAGGGTTGGGTTAGCAGACTGGGTTTGGGTTAGGGTTGGGTTAGCAGACTGGGTTTGGGTGAGGGTTGGGTTAGCAGACTGGGTTTGGGTTAGGGTTGGGTTAGCATACTGGAAGTAACCAGTGTTTGGGGAATAGCTCTTTGATGGACAGATGCATGCGAGTATGATTTCAGGATTCTCTTACAGACACTTTCTTTCTCTATTATCGTTGAGAAACGTGGCAAAATGAATGATGCATATTTTGCTTCCGTGATTTGTTTATCTCGAGTCAAGTCACCATTAGCAATTTTTTACAGCAGGGGTGCCCAATCCTGCTCCTGGCGATCGACTGTCCTGGGGCCCGTTTCAATAAGGAGGTTCAACCAACTCTGAGTTAAAGCTTGAACTCAGAGTTGACTTACCCTGAGATGGGAAACTCTGAGTTTTCGGTTACAGAACAGCTGAAATGAGTTAGTTCAATCAACTCTGAGTTGACCGACTCTGAGTTAAGCGCTTGCACCACAACTATAAAAAGCCATTATCAATGGAGCACAGATATTATGAGTCACCATGGCAACAGCGCCAGACAAAAAGAGGTGTTTATTAATTACCAAGTAATCTAAATATTGTAATTTAATTAAAGGGATTACTCTTAATTCTTCTGTAATTTAAAATAAAATATGATGCAATTACATTAAATAGGCCACTACATAAACCAATTAAGTATAAAACAATAGTGGATTTAACATACATTTTTAAAAGGTATATTTTTTATGTAACCTTCTTCCTCTACACACTTTGATAAATTCAAGAATAATTCATGCAATTGTATATTGTGAATTTGAAAGAATTAAAAGTGCAGTTTCTTGTCTCTCCTCTTTGTATTAATCAAGTGGTTGAGGTTGAGATTTAGCAATTAGTAATATGTAGACCAATACTTTCTAGAGATAGTAGCCTGATTATTACATTAATCTAACTACACCGTTGAAGATGTCAGTTAATAATTCATAACTATTTTAGAGTAACTTACTGTTATAATATAGTAAACTTACTCAACCTAAAGTAGGCTACTATTACTTTGATAAAATTTTACCTAAGTTAAAGTAAAAATACCAGTCTAAAAATCCACTCAAGTAAAAAGTAGTTAATTTAAAACATGAGTAAAAGTTGCTGAGTAACTTGTGGGGGTGGGGTGGGGGACTCCCCCATGTGGGGAGAGTTGAGAAACATCTCAGAAAATATCACGGTTTATGGTATTAAACAATTATTAAATATATAAACTGCATTCTTAAATTACGGTTATTATTATCATCAGTTAAAATGACAGTTAAATAAATTAAACATTTGTTCAATAAAACATATCAACTAACTTCAATAATTGATTATGAATAAGATTAACATCTTATTTTTTATCATTAATAACTTATTAAATTATGTTTGAAAAATAAGTGAGTTCTATTAAATGTTTTTTTATTCCAATTTTTTTAATGATTTAATAGAAATATATTATCAAAACGGTGGTAATCAAATAAAAGTTTAGCAAACGTTTTAAATCCTTTTATTTTTTGGCAAAGTGCTACAAAACAGATTTAGTCAATTAAACCATGGACAAACAATATATATTCCTTAAAGAATGTGTAAATACATTTTAGTATTATTGTTGGTGTTTAACAGCACTTCCTCTTTAAAAAAGGGGAGGAGACCGCAAGAAACTCTGAGTTTACTGAAGAAAACCTGCTCCCGACCAGGTTAGGTTCACGGAGTAAGTTACCATGGTAACTGACTCTGAGTATAAGTTACCTCTCTTTCAGAAATGGGCTTGACTTACTCTGCTGTCTCAGGTTTAACTTACCTCCCTTTCTGAAACGGAAAACCCAGAGTTTCCCTCATTTCAGGGTTAACATACTCGGAGTTTTCACTTAACCTCCTTTCTGAAACAGGCCCCTGCACAGTTCATCTCCAACCCTAATCAAACACACCTGAATGTGATCCTAAAGACCTTAATTGGCTACTTCAGGTGTGTTTGATTAGGGTTGGAGATGAACTGTGCAGGACAGTCGATCGCCAGGAGCAGGATTGGGCACCCCTGTTTTACAGAGTGTTTCAAAGCAGCGTGGGAAATAATGCGACAACAATTCAATAATGCAACATTGTCTGTAACGTTAGTCCATGAAGCAGCAGCACACCAGAATCATTACAAGGACACACACGCCTTCAACCCACAGCAAACTCTAAGATTAAACGAAGCGTGTTGAATAGTTTATTGGATAATAGTTAGATTCCGAAAAAAATATTTACAACACATCTTGCCGTGGCCACCAAAGTCATATGGAGATGAGTGGATAGTAATATGTCTTTAGTAAAAATCATCATTGATTCCATAGTAAAGCGTCTGATGTCCGCTCCGCAGCAGCCGAACTCAGTCCAATACACACACACACTCACTCACTCACTCACTCACTCACACTACATGCGTGTCAGCCGCTCACAGTGCAACCAACCGCCGACCCCACACAGCTCACGTCTCGCTGCTGATTGGCGGAGTGCTGTTTTCTCCTCGAGATCTGGAGAGCGATTGGTCGCGGCGGCTGTCAGTCACGGTAGCCCCGCCTCCTCGGTTTGTTTGGAAGGGTTGCTGGTTTTTTCGTTCTCTTGTCGCGGCGGTGGGTTGGAGCCGCTGTGCCCGGGCTGGTGCGTTCCTGCTTATTTATTTTTCATCCTTTGATTCGATCCCCCCCACTAAATTCTGCAACCGTGCCTCCCGAGCGACACACGGCCGCCCGCTCCTTCCATCTACAGTGCCCAGTCCCGGTCCAGAGAGCGAGTAAAGATGGCGGGCTCGGTTGTCGCCCGGCTCGAGGGCCGAGAGTTTGAGTATCTGATGAAGAAGCGCTCGGTCACCGTGGGCCGGAACTCCTCCCAGGGCTCCGTGGACGTCAGCATGGGCCACTCGAGCTTCATCTCCCGCAGGCACCTGGAAGTGTTCTCCGCCGGGGAGGACGGCTCGGGGAACGGGGACTTCTACCTGCGGTGTCTCGGCAAGAACGGCGTGTTCGTGGACGGCGTGTTCCAGAGGCGAGGCGCGCCCCCGCTGCAGCTGCCCCGCATGTAAACGCGTTTGTTGTGTTTCAGCACGTGTTGATTATGACAAGCTCTCTGACTCAGTCTGTTCACACTAAACACTACAGGCGTTCTCCTGCGTGCATCTCCAGCATCGTCCTTTAAAGCGTAGCAGACGCATATAGTGTGTGGTCTGGACATCCACTGTCAGTGTTTCGGGCTTCTTTCAGTCCGGATGACCTTTTAGTTGACCCACATCTGACGTACACTGGACCCACTCATAACATGACAAAAGGAGTTGTCAGAAATAATAGCCTGGTTAATGTAACTCATATTTTAATACACTCTAATGAATGATTATGAGAATATATTGTGTATATCTAATGTAATCACACTTTATTAACGACATATTTTGATCTTGCTTTTAATGGCATGCATGGAGGTAGGACCGCAATTTGTTTACATTTCTTTTTATTCCATCTTAATTTAGACAATGTGGGTTTGCCTTTGTTTTTATTGGTGCAGAGGCGCTGTTTTAAATCAGCTGCACCTCAGATCATAGAGTATTAATGTCACTGAGTTTATGGTTAGCGGAAGCGTTTAACATGACACAAAGGTGAATGTGCATGTTTATGTTTCTGATAAAATATGAGTCATGTAATAAGGCTGGTGTCCGTATATAAACCGGCTCTACTGTTGCTAACTGCTTCATCAACTAATATGCATTTTATTTTCATGGATATTTATTTTCAAAATGCCACTTGATAAACTTGTGTAATCGGTTGAAATCACTAACTCTCGCTTGCTGTTTTGTAGGTGCACTTTCCGCTTTCCCAGCACAAATATCAAAATTACGTTCACGGCCCTGTCCAGCGACAGGAGGGAGCGCAGGAACGCCCCAGAGTCTCCAGTCAAAGCGGTCCAGCCCCAGATCTCCCCGCTGACCATCAACATTCCCGACAACATCGCACACCTGATGAGTCCACTCCCGTCTCCTACCGGAACCCTCAGGTCAGAACCGTAACCTGTAACCCTTGACCTTTAACCCTGATGAGTCCACTACCGGAACCCTCAGGTCAGAACCGTAACCTGTTATCCTTGACCTTTAACCCTGATGAGTTCACTCCCGTCTCACCGGAACCCTCAGGTCAGAACCGTAACCCGAAGCCATAACCCTTGACCTTTAACCCTGATGAGTCCAATCCCGTCTCGCACCGGAACCCTCAGGTCAGAACCGTAACCCGAATCCATAACCCTTGACCTTTAACCCTGATGAGTCCAATCCTGTCTCCCACCGGAACCCTCAGGTCAGAACCGTAACCCTTAACCTGTAACCCTGATGAGTCCACTCCCGTCTCCCACCGGTACCCTCAGGTCAGAACTGTAACCGAACCCTAACAAACATCTTCATCGTTTTGGTCAATATTTAAATCTTTATTATTCACAAAGATTGGGCGATATGGTCAAAGTTAAGTTTGACCAGTGTATTGATATGCAGCAAACATTAAGAGTAGGCTAGCTAATGTGAGTGAAATCCCTCAAAACAGAAGACATTCGGCAATACATGAAAACAATGAAACTAATTATGAACAAAATGGGCAAGATATAAAACAGAACAAAAATGAAAATTAAAAAAACAGTGTTTTAGGTTTTTCAGGATGATGTACTAACAGTGGAATTCAGAAGCATAATAGCCAACAGCAGTAATTAGATGTAAAATACATCTGCATTCTCTGTATACATTTAATATATATATTAGGGATGTGCATCTCCATAGCTGAGGCCGATGCAATGCGCTTCTTGATGCATAGCCAATGATACAATACGATACATTAAAGATGCATATAAGCAGCTACCGATGAGAGAAGAGAAAGGAGAGATCAATCAAGTCGAACTGGACGTGCAAATGAGCCGAAATTGTGTCCAGTGCACCGCGTTAAATGCATCTCCAGACCCACGTCAACACGCCTTTACATTGACTTAACATGGAAATCACTCGCTACAGGCACTCTATTAGCGTTCGTTCTGTATACCGTGTGTGTGTAGGGTTGGGACATATATTTATATTTTTTTATTATGTAAACAATATAGTTTGTTTTGAATTCCACTGTTAGTTTGCCTGTGCGTGTTTGGCTCCGTCTCGCAGAAGCGCTGGGAGAACAGCATCTTATAAAAATCAGGAACATCCTGCAGTTCATCAACAGTGGACTTCATTTCACAACTCTCCTTTAATTGGCTGATTTGGTTGTAAAGTTTGGCTTAGAGAGGAACAAAAGCGCACCAATCGCTTTATCTCGAAATCAAAAATCAGTCATGATCAATTTGCACAGCCCTAGGATATGTTTAAAGCACAGATGTACTGAATTATGCCTATGCCATGTTTCCTCAGCGCTGCTAACTCGTGTCCATCGAGTCCGCGAGGAGCGGGACTCTCCAGCTATAAGATTAGCCGCAGCCTCACAGCGGAGCTCATCAATGAAAACTCCCAGTCCGAGAACGACAAGGAAGCTTCCGGAGGAGACAGTCCGAAAGTAATAACGCATGTTATCTCCCTCCAGTGATGTCTCGTTCATCAGTGCACCTCAGATCTGCCGGTAACGTGTTGTTCTTGTGTTTCACAGGACGACTCTAAGCCGCCGTACTCGTACGCCCAGCTCATCGTTCAGGCCATCACGATGGCAGCAGACAAGCAGCTCACACTGAACGGGATATATACACACATCACGAAGAACTATCCGTATTACAGGACAGCAGACAAGGGCTGGCAGGTGAGTGTCCTTCGTCAGAGTCGGGTCGCGCGCGCTCAGCGCCTTGAGTCGGGTCGCAATAGCCTGACAGCAATAGCCTGAATTTAAGACCCAACAACTAACAAATTAATACAACATTTGAGTTGCTTATCATTTGTAAGTGTAAGCTAGCGGGAGAGACAGAGCTCTCAGCAACGGGAAGGGGGAGGGTCGTCTCCGTGCCAACGGCTCTGCCCACATCCCAGAGGCGAGTTGCTTATGAGCTACTGCCGCTCTGCTGAAGTCCCATAAAACGGCACAGTGATTTTGGCTAAAAATGGCATAATCATAATTTAAAGACCACTGGGAATGTTTAAAAATAGCTTAAAAAATATGATCGGAGTGGGACTTTAATGCCCACAGAACAGATAAATGCTGAACACTCCTGCTCTTCCTGAGGGTTTATAACTGCATATCTTCCTTTAATCTTTATCATGATTCCTGCTGGTTTCACAGCACACAGTTTGTGCGTGAACAGCTGGAGTGAATGTGCAGAGAAAAGGGTGGAGCAACAGACGGAGAAATAAATCTGAAGCGCAGGAGGCAAACAAGCCTCATTGATGTACTTTTTTTGGCTTCATCATTACTGCCTCAAATCAGAATCAGATCTTTTGACCCTTAACCTTTTTCTCATGTTTCTCTTCCAGAACTCGATTCGTCACAATCTGTCCTTAAACCGCTATTTCATCAAAGTGCCCCGATCCCAGGAGGAGCCGGGTAAAGGCTCTTTCTGGAGGATAGATCCCTCATCCGAGGGGAAGCTCGTTGAACAGGCGTTTCGCAAGCGCCGGCCTCGTGGCGTTCCCTGCTTCCGGACTCCCCTCGGCCCGCTGTCATCCAGGTGATCTGGGTTTACTGTCAGGCTATCGGGAGAGATCGTTTATTACTGTAACTCTCGTGTGGATCATGTGTTCGGTGGGGCCTATGGAATAGCTGACCAGTGTCTGATACTGAACCAGCAAGACATTATCTTAAATCAGAGTTAAAAGTGCATCTATTCTCTTTAATCACCCTGATGTCTGATGTTCTTTGTCATGCATGACTTTAATCCTTTGCTTGTGATTTTTATTGTATTTGTAACTTATTTAAATCATTGTTCAGAACATTGGTCAAAGTCTCTTTTTTTAACTGCTGTATAAATAAACTAAGATAAGTTTTCCTCTCTCTATCAGGAGCGCTCCTGCATCTCCGAACCACACTGGGGCGTTGTCGGCCCATTCCAGCGGCGTTCAGACTCCCGACAGCTTATCCAGGGAAGGCTCGCCTGTTCCCATGGACCCCGATCCCGCTCCGGCCATCCAGCCCAAACTAGCGGTCATTAAAGAGGCCTGTTTCACACAGAATACTGCAGGTAACAGCAGAAATAGAGCTGCACCGCTGCTGACACTAGAGCCGGAGAGGAAGTGTGTTTGTTTCAGGACTACAGCTCGGACTCCAGTGATAAAGAATCCAGACTTGACCCGGACTCCGGACTTGACTCGCACTCCAGTGATAAAGACTTTGGATTTGACTCAGACTCTAGACTTGACCCAGGCTCCGGACTTGACTCGGGCTCCAGTGATAGAGACTCAGGATTTGACTCGGACTCCAGACTTGACTCACATTCCAGTGATAGAGACTCTGGACTTGACTCGGAGTCCAGTGATGGAGACTCCGGACTTGACTCGGACTCCAGTGATAGAGACTCCGGACTTGACTCACACTCCACTGATAGAGACTCAGGACTTGACTCTGACTCTGGACTTGACCTGGACTCCTGACTTGACTTGGACTACAGTGATAGAGACTCCAGATTTGACTCGGACTCCAGACTTGACTCGCATTCCAGTGATAAAGACTCCAGACTTGACTCGGACTCCAGTGATAGAGACTCTGGATTTGACTCGGACTAAAGACTTGACCTGGACTCCGGACTTGACTCGGACTCCAGTGATAGAGACTCCGAACTTGACTCGGACTCCAGTGATAGAGACTCCGGACTTGACTTGAACTCCAGTGATAAAGACTCCGGACTTGACTCGAACTCCAGTGATAAAGACTTTGGATTTGACTCAGACTCTGGACTTGACCCAGGCTCTGGACTTGACTCGGAGTCCAGTGATGGAGACTCCGGACTTGACTCGGACTCCAGTGATGGAGACTCCGGACTTGACTCGGACTCCAGTGATGGAGACTTCGGACTTGACTCGGACTCAAGTGATGGAGACTCCGGACTTGACTCGCACTCCAGTGATGGAGACTCCGGACTTGACTCGGACTCCGGTGATGGAGATTCCGGACTTGACTCGGACTCTGGACTTGACTTGGACTCCAGTGATGGAGACTCCGGACTTGACTCGGACTCCGTACTTGACTCGGACTCCAGTGATAAAGACTCCGGACTTGATTCGGATTCCAGTGATAAAGACTCCGTACTTGACTGGGACTCCAGTGATAGAGACTCCAGATTTGACTCGGACTAAAGACTTGACCAGGACTCCGGACTTATCTCGGACTCCAGTGATAAAGACTCCGGACTTGATTCGGATTCCAGTGATAAAGACTCCGTACTTGACTCGGACTCCAGTGATAGAGACTCAAGGTTTGACTTGGACTAAAGACTTGACCTGGACTCCGGACTTAACTCGGACTCCAGTGATAGAGACTCCGGATTTGACTCGGACTAAAGACTTGACCAGGACTCCGGACTTGACTCGGAATCCAGTGATAGAGACTCCAGACTTGACTCGGACTCCAGTAATGGAGACTCCGGACTTGACTCGGACTCAAGTGATGGAGATTCCGGACTGGAGTCCGGACTTGACTCGCACTCCAGTGATGGAGACTCCGGACTTGACTCGGACTCCGGTGATGGAGACTCCGGACTTGACTCGGACTCCGGTGATGGAGACTCCGGACTTGACTCGGACTCCGGTGATGGAGACTCCGGACTTGACTCGGACTCCGGACTTGACTTGGACTCCGAACTTGACTCGGACTCCGAACTTGACTCGGACTCCAGTGATGGAGACTCCGGACTTGACTCGGACTCCAGTGATAAAGACTCCGGACTTGATTCGGATTCCAGTGATAAAGACTCCGTACTTGACTCGGACTCCAGTGATAGAGACTCCAGATTTCACTCGGACTAAAGACTTGACCTGGACTCCGGACTTGACTCGGACTCCAGTGATAGAGACTCCGGATTTGACTCGGACTAAAGACTTGACCTGGACTCCGGACTTTACTCGGACTCCAGTGATAGAGACTCCGGACTTGACTCGGACTCCACTGATAGAGACTCCGGACTTGACTCTGACTCCGGACTTGACCTGGACTCCTGACTTGACTTGGACTACAGTGATAGAGACTCCAGATTTGACTCGGACTCCAGACTTGACTCGCATTCCAGTGTTAAAGACTCCGGACTTGACTCGGACTCCAGTGATAGAGACTCCGGACTTGACCTGGACTCCTGACTTGACTTGGACTACAGTGATAGAGACTCCAGATTTGACTCGGACTCCAGACTTGACTCGCATTCCAGTGATAAAGACTCCGGACTTGACTCGGACTCCAGTGATAAAGACTCCGGACTTGACTCAGACTCCAGTGATAGAGACTCCGGATTTGACGCGGACTAAAGACTTGACCAGGACTCTGGACTTGACTCGGAATCCAGTGAGAGAGACTCCAGACTTGACTCGGACTCCAGTGATAGAGACTCCGGACTTGACTCGGACTCCAGACTTGACTCGGACTCCAGTGATAGAGACTCCGGACTTGAATCGGACTCCAGACTTGACCTGGACTCCTGACTTGACTTGGACTACAGTGATAGAGACTCCGGACTTGACTCGGACTCCAGTGATAGAGACTCCGGACTTGACTCGGACTCTGGACTTGACTTGGACTCCAGTGATAAATACTCCGGACTTCACTCGGACTCCAGACTTGACCTGGACTCCTGACTTGACTTGGACTACAGTGATAGAGACTCCAGATTTGACTCGGACTCCAGACTTGACTCGCATTCCAGTGATAAAGACTCCGGACTTGACTCGCATTCCAGTAATAAAGACTCCGGACTTGACTTTGACTCCAGTGATAAAGACTCCGGACTTGACTCGAACTCCAGTGATAAAGACTCCGGACTTGACTCGCCCTCCAGTGATAAAGACTCCGGACTTGACTCGTACTCCAGTGATAAAGACTCCGGACTTGACTTGGACTTCAGTGATGAAGACTCCGGACTTGACATGGACTTCAGTGATAAAGACTCCGGAATTGACTTGGACTTCAGTGATAAAGACTCCGGACTTGACCTGGACTCTGGGCTTGACTCGCACTCCAGTGATAAAGGCTCCGGACTTAACTTGGACTTCAGTGATAAAGACTCCGGAACTGACTTGGATTTCAGTGATAAAGACTCCGGACTTGACATGGACTTCAGTGATAAAGACTCCGGAATTGACTTGGACTTCAGTGATAAAGACTCCGGACTTAACTTGGACTTCAGTGATAAAGACTCCGGAATTGACTTGGACTTCAGTGATAAAGACTCCGGAACTGACTTGGATTTCAGTGATAAAGACTCCGGACTTGACATGGACTTCAGTGATAAAGACTCCGGAATTGACTCGCACTCCAGTGATAAAGGCTCCGGACTTAACTTGGACTTCAGTGATAAAGACTCCGGAATTGACTTGGACTTCAGTGATAAAGACTCCGGACTTGACATGGACTTCAGTGATAAAGACTCCGGAATTGACTTGGACTTCAGTGATAAAGACTACGGACTTGACATGGACTTCAGTGATAAAGACTACGGACTTGACATGGACTTCAGTGATAAAGACTCCGGAATTGACTTGAACTTCAGTGATAAAGACTACGGACTTGACATGGACTTCAGTGATAAAGACTCCGGAACTGACTTGGATTTCAGTGATAAAGACTCCGGAACTGACTTGGATTTCAGTGATAAAGACTCCGGACTTGACATGGACTTCAGTGATAAAGACTACGGACTTGACATGGACTTCAGTGATAAATACTCCGGAACTGACTTGAACTTCAGTGATAAAGACTCCGGACTTGACTTGAACTTCAGTGATAAAGACTACGGACATGACTTGAACTTCAGTGATAAAGACTCCGGAACTGACTTGAACTTCAGTGATAAAGACTACGGACATGACATGGACTTCAGTGATAAAGACTCCGGACTTGACCTCGACTTCAGTGATAAAGACTCCGGACTTGACCTCGACTTCAGTGATAAAGACTGGGGACTTGACTTGGATTCCAGACTTGACTCGCACTCTAGTGATTAAGACTCCAGGCTTGACTCGGACTCCAGCTTAAAGACTTGTGAAAAACTGTGGTCTGACCTGGTTAATCCCACAGGTTATCCTCTGAACATATAGCCAGTCATCACAGTCCTTATCACAGTCCTCATCTCATCACATGTGTGTGTGTGTCACGCAGGTTCCCCTCTGAACACGCAGCCGGTCCTCATCACAGTGCAGCGGCAGCTCCCTCAGACCCTGAAGCCCCTGACCTATACCGTAGCTACTCCGGTGTCCTCCGCGTCCCAGCAGCCCCTGCAGACGGTGCATGTGGTGCACCAGATCCCGGCGGTGTCCATGGCGACCGTCACCGGCCTGTCTGTGGCCGAGCCGGTGTTCAGCCAGACCAGCGGTGTGTCCGCGCGTGAGAACGGAGAGCACCAAGAGGTCAAAGGTTAGTGTGTGGAAGCTCTGTGATAATAGGGCTGAATATCAGAAGCTTTGTGGAATACTTGGTTCTGGTTGGTCGAGGTCTGATTTCCGGGTCGAGACTCGCTCTCTCCTGTTCCATCTTTGTCACTGTCATGTCTTTGACTCTGTAATGGATTATAAGAATAAACCACTAAGAATTTTAAATCTGTTTCAAGTCATCCATTTTTTTTGTCCAAATAACTATTTATTTGGTTTCATTTGTGTAATGAATGGGTATGATTATTACTACGTTTTGTTTGAAGCTTGATTGCTGAACCATTTTTAACTCTCATCAATATTTTGTCCAGTTATTATGTGGAAAGTATTTGAGCAATATATATAATATCATTACTGAAATCAGAAAGCCTCTGTAATGTTGTGTTGTCTCAGTGAAAGTGGAGCCAGTTCCCTCCATCACGACATCTCTGGGCGGGACGGCCCGTGTTCTGCAAACGGTCACTATCGTGGGTCAGCACCAGCTGCCGGTCAAGGCCATCACTCAGAACGGGACGCATGTGGTCTCAGCCGTCCAGGGCTCCGGCAGTACCGGTGAGCATCTCTCACATCACTAACCCTTCAGGGAGGGGTACAGCTTGGGTTATTAGTGTTTACATCTTGGGTTATCACAGTATTTACAGCTTGGGTTATTACAGTATTTACAGCTTGGGTTATTAGTGTTTACATCTTGGGTTATCACAGTATTTACAGCTTGGGTTATTACAGTATTTACAGCTTGGGTTATTACAGTATTTACAGCTTGGGTTATTAGTGTTTACATCTTGGGTTATTACAGTATTTACAGCATGGGTTATTATAGTATTTACAGCTTGGGTTACTACAGTATTTACAGCCTGGGTTATTACAGTATTTACAGCATGGGTTATTACAGTATTTACAGCCTGGGTTATTACAGTATTTACAGCATGGGTTATTACAGTATTTACAGCTTGGGTTACTACAGTATTTACAGCCTGGGTTATTACAGTATTTACAGCTTGGGTTATTACAGTATTTACAGCTTGGGTTATTAGTGTTTACATCTTGGGTTATTACAGTATTTACAGCATGGGTTATTACAGTATTTACAGCTTGGGTTACTACAGTATTTACAGCTTGGGTTACTACAGTATTTACAGCCTGGGTTATTACAGTATTTACAGCCTGGGTTATTACAGTATTTACAGCTTGGGTTATTACAGTATTTACAGCCTGGGTTATTACAGTATTTACAGCTTGGGTTATTAGTGTTTACATTTTGGGTTATTACAGTATTTACAGCATGGGTTACTACAGTATTTACAGCTTGGGTTACTACAGTATTTACAGCCTGGGTTATTACAGTATTTACAGCTTGGGTTATTACAGTATTTACAGCTTGGGTTATTAGTGTTTACAGCTTGGGTTATTAGTGTTTACAGCTTGGGTTATTAGTGTTTACAGCTTGGGTTATTACAGTATTTACAGCTTGGGTTATTAGTGTTTACATCTTGGGTTATTACAGTATTTACAGCCTGGGTTACTACAGTATTTACAGCTTGGGTTACTACAGTATTTACAGCTTGGGTTACTACAGTATTTACAGCTTGGGTTACTACAGTATTTACAGCTTGGGTTACTACAGTATTTACAGCTTGGGTTACTACAGTATTTACAGCCTGGGTTATTACAGTATTTACAGCCTGGGTTACTACAGTATTTACAGCTACAGTATTTACAGGGTTACTACAGTATTTACAGCCTGGGTTACTACAGTATTTACAGCTTGGGTTACTACAGTATTTACAGCTTGGGTTACTACAGTATTTACAGCTTGGGTTACTACAGTATTTACAGCTTGGGTTACTACAGTATTTACAGCCTGGGTTACTACAGTATTTACAGCTTGGGTTACTACAGTATTTACAGCTTGGGTTACTACAGTATTAGGGCCGTCCGTTCAGTAATTTTTTTTCAGTTATTGTGCAGCAGTCAGGCTCTGTTTACAGCTGATGTAGGGATGTGTTTCCGTCGATCGGATCACCTTGGATGAGGTAAACATTCTCGTTACTCTTGCAGTTTTAATCCGGCTCTTCGGTCCAGTTTCACACACTTTTTTGTCAGACCTTTTGATCTAATGGACAAAATAAGCTCAAGTAATTTACATTTAAACACAATGAGACGACAGAGTCACATGGAGATCAGGAATGCTGTGAGAGATCAGGAACTCCGTGAGAGTGTGTGTGAGAGATCAGGAATCCCGTGTGAGAAATCAGGAACACTTTGAGAGTGTGTGTGAGAGATCAGGAATCCCGTGTGAGAGATCAGGAACCCTGTGAGAGTGTGTGTGAGAGATCAGGAATCCCGTGTGAGAGTGTGTGTGAGACATCAGGAACCCTGTGAGAGTGTGTGTGAGAGATCTGGGGCCTCATTTATAAACGTTGCGTACGCACAAAAGAAGGCGTACGCCGCTCTCTACGCAATAGTTGGTATTTATACAAAGCAAACTTGACAGTAAAATGTGCGGTCCTTCACGCAAGCTCTGACTCAGGCGTACGCACAATAACGGTGAAATGAGAAATGGCGACACCGTCGGCAGTTGGGAAAAACACGTGAAAGTGTGTGAAACTGTAGACGGTTGTGTAAAATAAATTGCAATACGCCTCTCATAAATAACACAAATACTTCACAAAGCAAGTCTTAACAGCTTACAATTAACAGCCTACACGAACACCCGTTTAATCGATCTGTAACAGAAATGCAAATTAACACATATTTCCAAAAAGAAAGTGAAATATTTTCTGCTATAATATTGGTATGCAATTCATTCCCATGAATAAGATGGTAAACAGAACGAAATAATGTACAAAACTAATATTCTCGCCAATATGTCCATCTAACGGAGCAGATATAGCAATTAGATAGTCAGTCAGATAGATAGATAATTAGGGAGATATATAGATAGATCGATAGGCCTAAATATTATTTGTCCACTGGGGAAAGTTGTTTTCATAGTAAAAATGTCTTTTTACTTTATTCCATAATCTACGGAATCATGGTATTCATGCATATGCCTTTAGTTTGTTTTATTTTTGATAATGTATGACGTGTCTCAACCATTCAGAAAGCTGCAAGAAATTACATTTGCGCTGAACTATTTCCCATTTCCAAGTAGATTATAACCGACATCCGTAGCTTGTCAGATGCAGAATTAAATGGATGTAAATAAAATGCCCCATCACAATGCGTATAATGACGCACAATGGCTGATCTTGAGCTCTTAGAAGATGTGGCGATTAAATGGAAGGATTCGGAGTGAACGCATCATCTTCACAACAAAAGGTGTGGAAAAATATATTATTTATTCAAGAATTCCCTCATTATGCAGTTTATTATACAGTTTATTTCAGTTAGGATTCAGTTAGGTCTTGATTTCGCCCAACTCCGTGGCCACCTCTTAAATTAATGACTATAGATGCTTTTTTGCCTCGACTTTGATGTCCGACCATTTCTTTTTTATTTCGGCCACAGTCCGAGGTTGTGAGGCTACAGCATTTACGGCGTCTGCAACCTTTTGCCACTCAAGTGCCTTTTTGGCATTAGTAATGCCCACACTGTGCCCTCCAAACAACATTTTTCTCCTCTTTTCCACCTCGCCAACGATAACTTCTACTTCACATTGAGTGAAGTTACATTTTTTTTTTATTTCCTCTCTGTGTTTAACATGACATTTCGCAATTCATGAATATTAACTTTTGGGCGTTTCACTGACTATTTATGGGCAACTATGGGCGTGACATGAAGCCGCAAAAGCTGCGCTACATTTAGAACTGATTGTGATTTATGAAGGGAAACATGCGTAGGATGTGCGTGCGCACGGTTTTATAAATCCGAATATTTCTGTGCGTACGCACGTCCTATGTTTCATCCGTACGCCACTTCTGACGCAAATCCTACGCAAAGTTTTATAAATGAGGCCCCAGGAACCCTGTGAGAGTGTGTGTGAGAGATCAGGAACCCTGTGAGAGTGTGTGTGAGAGATCACTAGGAGAGCACTAAGAGAACATTGAGTTTGGGACGTTTTTTATGTTCAAGCCAAACTTGAAGAAATCCACTAGTCATGAATGTTTCCCGAAATTGTATTGTTCTAAATTGGTTGTTCAACCGGGTTGGTTAATGATGTCACGCATATGGTGGAGTAATGACTACTGTTAATGAATCTAATAAAAACTATGCTTTAAATCTAAGTTGACAAACTAAAAGACATAAATTACATTTGTATGTATTCTAGATAAAAGACTCAGATTGTTCTGAATGTCCGCTTGGTTCAGACACACTCTTCTGTGGTTTCACATCATCTCTCCCTGGCTTGGAAGAGCCAGGACATTTTTAATATAACTGATAGCTGATAAGATATGCAGCTAGGATGGCATGAGGAAGAGTAAATCATGGGCTAATTTAAATATTTGGGTGAACTATCCCTTTAATGCTAATGCTAATGTCTGGTCCTCAGCGAGTCCGCTGCACATGCTAGCGACGCACGCCTCGGCCTCCGCGTCCCTCCCCACCAAACGCCAGAACGGAGAGCCGGACCAGCAGCCCGAACCCAAACGGGTCAAGACCGACTCCATCCCAGCGGAGAGAGACCAGCAGACCCACGCCGACTAGACCATCGTCTCCTGACCTCTGACCTCGACTCGTTCGCCCCGCCGGCACCTCGTCCCCCGTTCCTGAACCCCAGGTGCCAATACTGAGGTGAGATGAAGAGAGAAGCTGTTCTGGTCCACACTCACAGATATATGCACACTCATATACTCATATAGCCTACTTGAAGTCACAGAATGAAGCGTGTTGTTGTTCCTGTGTGGCGTGACCCCGCGGAGAAGCCCGGACGAGCCCTGGACAAGCATCCGACGACCGACGACGACCTAGATGTTTATGTAATTGTCACGCATGTGTATCAGACGTGTGTTCTCCGTTCCCAGAGATCCTGAACATTCACATTCAGCTGACCGCCAGAAGCGGACTCGCCAAACCTCGCTAGGCCCGATTAGCTCTTAAAGGGTCCGCCTCACACTCCCACGTGGGACAGTCGAGCGCTCGTCCCTTGGGACAGGGAGCGTGTGCCGGCTCCTCCGATCATGGCAGCTAGCCTCCACGTCCAGCCAATGCAGTCTTGAGTAGATATGCAGTATTTTGTCGTACGTGTACTTTAGGGTCTTATTTGTGTGTTTCCCGAGGCACAAATACTCAACAAAAACTGGCTTTTCCCCACTCTGTTTTCTTTTAAAGACGTGGACTTGTGGTCATGGAAATGAATGTATTCACTTCATTCTTTTTAATTTTTTTCAGAAAAAAGAAACACTATTGAGAGTTTGAGTTACTCTCGATTACATCAGATCAAAATGATGTTTACTCGCATCCTCTTTATATTTTAACCAATAACCTATGAGATAGATATATTTCCATTTGTACTTTGTTAAAATATATCATCTTGCATGAACGTGTTGAGAAAATGTGCTGTGCCCGATTCGATTCCTGACGAAAGATGGAAGGGAAAAAATGCAAAATAATATTTTATACAATTGGGATCATTACTGCACTTACCTTTCGTTTCTAATATTTCCTTTCCTCCCCGTTGTTTTCCTTTTATATTGGAGATGTCGTTGGCTGTGTGTTATCTTTGTGTTGAAGTTGTCTCTTTGCCTGTTAATAATATTATTTTATTCTGTTCCAACAACTGAAAGAGTCTACACGGATAGAACGTGTTCCACAAGGAAAAATAAGTGGTAGATGTTGTTTAGCTTCAGTGGGTATATGCATTTTTTTATAAATTAAATTAAAGCTCCATAACTTCAGTGGCGTGTGAGTGTGTTTGCTGCTGTGTGTCTCTAGGTGGCGCTGATGATCTAACCTTCCTCACAGGGAACTTGACAGTAATAAGGGAAGAAGTGGTTGGCCACATGTGAACCGTGTCCTACCCGATGCCGAGCCGAGTGTCAGGAACGCTGTAAAGCTGTCCACTCGTGTGCAGTCCCAGAAAAGAAAACTTTGCTCTTGTTTATGAAGGAAATGTATGATTTATTGTGAAACGCACTTGATTTTCTCTCCAGGTTTCTGCTGGAAACAAAGAACTGATTTCTGGATAAAGATTGTGCAATTCATTTGTTGACGAACTACAGTAACTGCAGGCTTGTCTGGTGTGTAATGATGTATTATTCAGTTAACTTTCAGAGCGGCTGTTTGCTGTAAACACTCGCCGCTCCATGAAGAACGAGGGCTGGACACACACATCTTTGCACGCCCTTGAATATGTATGCCAAGGCCTATTCCTTAAAACCAGTACAGTCAACAGATGAAACAGCTGCTTCTGAAACACTACTCCACGGGGATGAACCCTACCGCTGTAAGCTGCATACCCATACTGGTTTCCCACAGGGTTAGGGGTGAGTCTGGTGCCTCTGACATGCTTCACTGCAAGAACATCTGTGCTTTTTAATGTGGAAATCTGGTGCACTTTGACAGTGAAATTAAGAAATTAATTCCAACCTATATTTGGTATTAGATTATATTTAACATTAGTTCCACCTAACCTATATAGTGTGCAAATTGAACAAAGAAAAACTAAAACCCCCTTAATATAGTGTGTCAGTGAGTTACATTTACATAATTATAGTTATAATATGAATCTCATGAAACTAATAGCAATATTGAAAAACAAATGCACTGAAAATACTTTCATAATTAGTTTTGTACTAATGTCAATACTTGGAACAGAAACATGATCTTTTATTTAGGTGGAAAACATGGTTTACAAACGCGTCTGCGTCGAATATGCAGATGAGGGAATGATAATTTACCAACTGGGTAATGGGTTCCTACACTCATAGCCTAATGTTGTGATTAGCCCAGTTCTTTCACTCGCTCATCTCTCACACGCTCCGTTTCTTGTTTTTCACGTTATTTCTCTGCACTTGCGTTTCTTCTCCATCTCTGATGTTGACCGTTACACACATGCGCGCTCAGAGCCCAGAGGGGGGAGGAGTTTAATGGTGTGATTGGACCAGCCCAGTGTCGATCAAGAAAAGAACCAATGGACCGCTGTTCTACGCGTTTCATGGGCCGGTCTGTGAGAAGAAAACCTAGAATCCCCAGCGCCGCAAATGGGCTCTATCAAAGCCAGTCTACGGAAAGCCTGTTCGAATTTTTGCTTGTAGTTCCACCAAAGTTCCACTGGGGGCAATAGTCGGCGTGCAAAATGAATGGGAGTTCAGAACCCGGAAGTTTAATGTGAGTGGGAGTTCTCGTCATATTAAACTTTCTCTGGTGTTACTTTATTTTCAACATGGCGGCGGCATCTATGGTTACAAGTTTCTGTTTCTTGCAGCGGTACAACCTGTCATGCTCGAGGAATATATGCTATCCATTAGTAACTGTATTCAGTAATCAAACGCGATCGAAGCGCTATGCAGACAGCTGTTCTTTCCACGTGAAAAAAGCATCGCATATTACACAGGTGAAACATGTTCTTCTGTATTTTCTTTAAATTACAATTTAACGTGTTTAAATGTCAACACGTTTCTGTTTATTGTCAGGACGATCTGCTCTCGCGCATCCCGGTTGGTAAGATTTCCTCATTATTAACTGTTTTAATTGACTGAGATTATGATGTTATTATAACTGATTGAGATCAGACGATGTTATTATAACTGACTGAGATCAGATGATGTTATTATAACTGACTGAGATCAGATGATGTTGTTATAACTGACTGACTGAGATCAGACAATGTTATTATAACTGACTGAGATCAGACGATGTTATAACTGACTGAGATCAGATGATGTTATTATAACTGACTGAGATCAGACGATGTTATTATAACTGACTGAGATCAGATGATGTTATTATAACTGACTGAGATCAGATGATTATAACTGACTGAGATCAGACAATGTTATTATAACTGACTGAGATCAGATGATGTTATTATAACTGACTGAGATCAGACGATGTTGTTATAACTGACTGAGATCAGACGATGTTATAACTGACTGAGATCAGATGATGTTATTATAACTGACTGAGATCAGACGATGTTGTTATAACTGACTGAGATCAGATGATGTTGTTATAACTGACTGACTGAGATCAGACGATGTTGTTATAACTGACTGAGATCAGATGATGTTGTTATAACTGACTGACTGAGATCAGACAATTATAACTGATTGAGATTATTATGTTACTGGCTGAAGTCTGAATGTCCTGAAACAGTCTTCTTCCCCCAGAGAAACTGAAGATAACATACAGTCGGAGCAGCGGACCAGGCGGTCAACATGTCAACAAGGGTAAACTGTGTCTAGTGTTCGGTGTGAAGGTGACTGTCGGTCACTAGTAGTGCTGGGCGGTGAGACCAAAAATCCACATCGGTTTCGTGGTATATGACGGTATTTTTTCTCCAAGTAAGACTGGTTGTTAACCAATGATTAAGAGAGTAAATACTACAGTAGATTGACTTAGAATGCCCTATTTTAATGGCATGCGTGAGTATTGTAGAAAAAATCCACACTAGTATTGTTACAGGTTTGCAAGGCTGTTTATAAAGAGGCGCTGTAGGAGCGGCAGAAATGTTGTTCATAAATGCTGCTTTATCAGGAAAGATCAAGAAAGATTCAATTGAACATCGAAACTTTTGCAAAGACTGTTAGTTCACTTCAGATATGTTCATATAAAAACACCCGCATCACGCTTTGACTTTGAAACATGCATTGCTCATGTTTATTCAACGATTTAAACACCAACCACAAATAGATTTTCCAAAAGGCTGTGTTGATATTGTGAACCAATGTATAGAAAACACTGTAATATAATTTGAACGCTATCATTTATAACCTCTCCATCTTCACCATCAGGCTCAGTAACACACACAGCTGTGTATCACCACAGCGAACAGTGTAAAGAACAGTCTGGCCCTCTCAAACAGGGTCATGACACGTTCCCAACATTGTTAAAGCGACATACTGTACACCAATATTGTGGTATATTAAAATTTCATATCATAGCAAAAATAAACACTGGTAATCGGTATGAACCGGTATACTGCCCAGCACAAATCACTAGTGCTGTTTATTTAAGAATCACATTTTGGCACTTAACATTCTGTAATATTTGTTTGCAGTCAATACGAAAGCAGAGGTGCGTTTCCATGTGCAGACAGCAGAATGGATTACAGAAGAAGTTAGGAGAGAGATTCTTCTGAAGGTGAGAGTAGCACATATAACATACATTTGTGTCGCATGCACTGCTCACGGCAGAAATACCTGTGTCAACAGAATACAACTCGTGTCAACAAAGCAGGAGAGTTAATTGTGACCTCAGAGATGAGCAGAAGCCAGCAGAGGAATCTTGAAGACTGTCTCCAGAAGATCTCCGAGATGATCACTGAAGCCAGTCGACAGAAACCAGAACCGTCAGTGGAGGATCTCGCTCTCAGAGCTCACAGGTTAGAGAGATCACAGGTTACACAGATCACATGTTACAGAGATCACAGGTTACAGAGATCACATGTTACAGAGATCACATGTTACAGAGATCACATGTTACAGAGCTCACAGGTTACAGAGATCACAGGTTACAGAGCTCACAGGTTACAGAGCTCACAGGTTACAGAGCTCACATGTTACAGAGATCACAGGTTACAGAGATCACAGGTTACAGAGATCACAGGTTACAGAGATCACAGGTTACATAGATCACAGGTTACAGAGATCACAGGTTACAGAGATCACAGGTTACAGAGATCACAGGCTACAGAGATCACAGGTTACAGAGATCACAGGTTACAGAGATAACAGGTTACAGAGATCACATGTTACAGAGATCACATGTTACAGAGATCACATGTTACAGAGCTCACAGGTTACAGAGCTCACAGGTTACAGAGATCACAGGTTACAGAGATCACAGGTTACAGAGATCACAGGTTACAGAGATCACATGTTACAGAGATCACATGTTACAGAGATCACCGGTTACAGAGATCACAGGTTACAGAGCTCACAGGTTACAGAGATCACATGTTACAGAGATCACAGGTTACACAGATCACATGTTACAGAGATCACAGGTTACAGAGATCACAGGTTACAGAGATCACAGAGATGTTACAGAGATCACAGGTTACAGAGATCACAGGTTACAGAGATCACATGTTACAGAGATCACAGGTTACAGAGATCACAGGTTACAGAGATCACAGGTTACAGAGATCACAGGTTACAGAGATCACAGGTTACAGAGATCACAGGTTACAGAGATCACATGTTACAGAGATCACATGTTACAGAGATCACCGGTTACAGAGATCACAGGTTACAGAGATCACAGGTTACAGAGATCACAGGTTACAGAGATCACATGTTACAGAGATCACATGTTACAGAGATCACCGGTTACAGAGATCACAGGTTACACAGATCACAGGTTACAGAGATCACAGGTTACAGAGATCACAGGTTACAGAGATCACAGGTTACAGAGATCACAGGTTACAGAGATCACAGGTTACAGAGATCACATGTTACAGAGATCACATGTTACAGAGATCACCGGTTACAGAGATCACAGGTTACAGAGATCACAGGTTACAGAGCTCACAGGTTACAGAGATCACATGTTACAGAGATCACCGGTTACAGAGATCACCGGTTACAGAGATCACCGGTTACATAGATCACAGGTTACATAGATCACAGGTTACATAGATCACAGGTTACAGAGATCACAGGTTACAGAGATCACAGGTTACAGAGATCACAGGTTACAGAGATCACAGGTTACAGAGATCACAGGTTACAGAGATCACAGGTTACAGAGATCACAGTTACAGAGATCACATGTTACAGAGATCACATGTTACAGAGATCACATGTTACAGAGATAACAGGTTACAGAGATCACAGGTTACAGAGATCACAGGTTACAGAGATCACATGTTACAGAGATCGCAGGTTACAGAGATCGCATGTTACAGAGATCACATGTTACAGAGATCACATGTTACAGAGATAACAGGTTACAGAGATCACATGTTACAGAGATCACCGGTTACAGAGATCACAGGTTACAGAGCTCACAGGTTACAGAGATCACAGGTTTCAGAGGTTTCAGTGTCCTTATGCACTAATGCAACACTGTCACAATAATATTTGTGTTGTTTTTTTCCAGATTAGATAAAAGAAATTTGGAAAGACTCAAACAGAAGAAGATACATGCTGCAACAAAACAAGGGCGACGAGTCGACTATGACTGAGCCCAAAATACTGTATTATTACATTTGTTCTGTATTCATGTTTTTATTAAAAAATCACAAAATATCACACTGTAAAGTGGTGTTTATTTTGCTGTATGTAATGCATAGCATATACTTAATTATATGTCACATTACTTTATAAAGAAAAATCTGAAAATTAAAGATTTGATAAAATAAATCAAATATTAGATTTGATACTCTGTTAAACTGTTAAAGCAAAGAGCTGGTTTACACTATTTGTGTGCATTGACTGTTAATAGAGGGCTAGACTGTTTTAATTAGAGTTCAGTGTATTTGCATGACACTAGAAAAAACCCATTACTCATCAATGTTCGATTGCCATCTATAAATGTGAATGAAACTTAAAATGGAATGACGTTTATAGAACTAAAACATTATTTGTCAAATACAAATTTCAACTTGATACATTGTCACAGAGAGACTAGCAGCATTGTTGGGTAAGTAAAGTAAAGCATGGTTTCGATCCATCTGGGTTATGGGTCCAGCACGTGTCTGCTCTGCTGTTGCTGATATAACGAGATATAATAATCAAGACTTATCCATACAGTCACTGACATTCAGCATTAGTTCACATCGGAATGAGAATTTATAATTTGTTTTGAATTCAAGGTTTTCAAATTCTTTTCGAATATGGAAAACCAAATTCACGGTTTTCACATTTAAATTATATTGTTTTGCTTCTACATAAACCGAAGTTAAAAAAGAACGACCACGAAGGGACTCGAACCCTCAATCTTCTGATCCGAAGTCAGACGCCTTATCCATTAGGCCACGCGGTCGACGTAAATATGTAGCAGTCACTACAAGGATTTAAACTAACCGATACTAGTAAACCATTTTGTATAATTTTTTTTTTGCATGTTAAATAAAGCTAGAATTACCAACGAGCACTGTCCATTTAACGACCTTGTTTTGTTTTTAGGCTCATTTGAGATGCCACACGCCTCGCAGCGAAAGCAGAAGAAAGTGAGCAGTGGAGTCGCTTAATTTAGTGGATCAGGTCCAGAAATGCAACCGGATTCAGCTGGAGATTTACCTTGACCTGTCCGGAATATTATTGCGTCACCTTGACATCAGGAGTTTGACCACACTCGACTCAGGCAAGACACATTTAGTTGGTTTTCTCATCGGTTTGGCGCAGAATTTTCTTTTCTCAAATGAGACCAATCCAAGTCGTTTTAAGTTGGTAAGGTTAATAAATAAATGAATTGGGCGCTATAAAATAAGGCATCCGTTCAGCTGTTACAGTCACAGCACGGCAGACTGGGGACTTTATCAGTTTTGGAGGCAGATTATTTTGCTTGCATTGAATAAGCGTGCTGTGTGTTGTGCTACTGACCACTAGAGCGACAACAATTAAATAATTAAAGTTTATTCTTATTTTTCATTTTAAAGCTGTCCATCTTCTGAATGGAGTTGTTTCCATTAAATATGACATTGTTTCCCTTTTCACAAGATGTAATATAAATCCTTGGTGTTCCCAGAATGTGTGACATTTAAGCTCAAAATAGCCCCAGGTTTATTATAGCTTGTCAAACAAAACAAGCCAATCTCACTGATCCAGAATCAGGTGTAACCAGAGTGCAGCCTTACGGTGAGAGACTCAGGGAGAGCTTTTACACGTTTCTGAATGTTAGAGGAGACATTTATGTAGTTGTTGTGGAGTTACACTGATCATCTCATTGACTTAAACACAGGAAAAAGTCAGATTTTCATGATATGTCCCCTTTAATTTACTAGTGTAATAATTTTTGTGACAGAACTTTTGTCATAAAACAATAAAAACCCTTTGTGGAACAATTTTGTAAAACAACAAAACATGAAAACATACTTTTTATAGACACTGTATATTTTGATAATGTTAAAGAGTCCATCTGTTTGTTTCTTTCAAGCTATTAACAGTAACACGGATCCCAAACCATTGACTTAAATATACTATAAACAACAGGATAGAGTTGATACACTACTCAGTTCCAGACGCAATATTATCAGCAGAGAAACGGGAAAGTGTCAGTGTTTATCGGCCAGCCTCTGCAGCAGAGCGATGATGGTGTCCTGCTTAGAGGAGATCAGCTCGAGCGCGGTGGCCATCCTGGTCATAGCATCGGCCTCGGCCCGCGCGGCTCTCTCCCTGCGCCGCTCGCGCGCGTCTGTCCTGCGCTGAAGCTGCTCGTCTGAACGTGCGCGCTCCTCCTGACTGCGGAGGAAGCAGCGCAGGAGTTCGGTGCGTTCCTCGGCCGGCCCGGAGCCCAGCCGGAGCTGAGCCGGAGCTAAGCCGCCCCCATGCTGCAGAGCGGAGCCGAGCCGGAGCTGCCGAAGCCTAGAGCGTCTCAGAGCCGGGCGGATCACAGGCTTCGGCCGAGCGGAGTCAGTGCTGACCTGGCACCGCACCGGCACCAGCGTCGGGATCGGGGAAGAGGTCGAGATGATCCCCGTGGGAAGCAGACGAGGAGCCACCACAGGAACACTGCTGGATGGAGGGTCCTCGGATTTTACAGCTGCCTTGGCTGTAGTTGCGAATCCAACAAGAGTGGCTGAAGCAGGGCCTCGCTGAACAATATTAGTCTTTCCTAATATGTTATCCATCATCTGTGATCAATAAACAACAGAACAGCGAAGATCATTCAGACACACTGTGATTCCACCATCATACTGTTATGTGCATGATCCTCATCAAACGCTGTTATTCTAAGGGTAAACTACTCAACATTTACATTTTATTCTTCAGGTATTTATAGTAATTCAAGTATTTGAGGTCATTAGTGTTTCTAAAAAGGAACCGTATTTGAGACTCTAACAATAATATGATTTCTTGAATAGAGAATATAATGAATTCTTGGAGCAGCCAATCATGTGATGAAAACATGCTGGAAGCTTAATGAAAAGCCTCATTATTAATCATTATTAATCTCTTACTTCAAAGTACTCCCACGAGGTCTTGGTTTGGCCTCCACACAGCAAGCTGCGATCTTTAACTCTCTTGTACGTCACGATGAGGTTATTCCATTTCCTGCGAATCTTCTCGACAGGCAAGGAGTGACCGTGACCTTCCAGCTCTTTCTGGACGCTCTGGAAGAGCAGCGATCGCTCCCTGGCGCTGTACACGTCCCAGCACCTCTGCATGGCCTCGATCAGGAGCACGATGGCGCCGTGGGTGAACTCGGACGAGCTGGAGACCGCCTCACTCCCGCCAACACCTGCGGCTCAGAGAAGGCAAATCAAAACATTTCACTATTCATGTAAACATCACATTATCTAGTTCATTTACAAATACTGCACAACACTTCATGAAATATGACGTAAATGTTCCATAACATACTGACCGTGTAGGACTTTGTTGTCTTTGTTGTTAAAAATTGCAGACGATGATAAAGCGTTGTTAACACTGATGGGATCTGTGACCACAAACACAGTGAAGAACATGAAATATCAATGCGTAAACATGAAGAAACACGACCAATCGAACAGTTCAAACAGCTCTGAGATCGAGAATCAAAATATTATAGCGTTTGTTTGTTAATGAACTTTGTTAATGTCTGTGAATTTTCAGCTCAAAACACCAAATCATTTATTATAGCTTGTCGTGTGAGCAAAAACGTGCCGTTTTTGTGTGTGTGTCCCTTTAAATGCAAATGAGCTTTATCGCCGCCTCCATTCAGAATCTCACTCACTGATCCAGGATCAGGAGTAACAGCAGCTTTAGCTCCGCCTTCCGGAGAGACTCAGGGAGAGCTGCACTTTTACACGTTTCTGAATGTTAGCGGAGACGTTTGTGTAGTTGTTGTGGAGTTACACTGATCATCTCATCATCATGTTGAACTCTTCCACAAGTGTCCACAGTTCCTGAGACAGTGTTTATAAGACAGCGGTCACATGTTCTGCTCAATAGTGTTCAGTGTCGTCTGTGCTGACCACAGAACAGTTTCAGGCTCAGCTGGATCTTCTCCAGTGCGTTACAACTGGGCTCTGTTGGCGTCGCCCAACCCAGTGTCGCTGGTGTGTGTGTGTGTGTGAACGTGCAGATTAAGGGCCGGGAATATTATAATAAGATCCTTTTCATACGAAATCTGATCGGATCTAATCTGAATGATTTCATTCCTGTTAAAAATCAAAGATGGCGCTGCGGGTCATATTCATGAGGCATTGCCAGTCAAGTCACCTTCATTTATACAGCGCTTTTAAAAACAGATTGTTTCAATGCAGCTTTACAGAGAAAACAGGAAATTAAAGTGATTATTTTGTCTTTACAGCAGCTGAAATAAAGAAAATATTAACATATTAAAATGTCCAGATAAAGTTAGTTTTGATTGATGATTCACTTCACTGATTACAGATCACACTAAATTGTAATGTAGACATGCATTCTCTGTAAAGCTGCTTTAAAACAATATGTACTGTGCAAAGTGCTATAAAAATAAATGTGAATTTAATTTAATTGACAACATTTGCAATGAGCTTTTCTGGCAAAGTTCTTGTCTCCATGATAGTCTCTGATTGGTAGAACCCTCTTTAGGGATACTCCACTTTTTTTGGAAAGGGGCTCATTTTACAACTCCCCCAGAAGTTGAACAGTTGAGTTATTACCGTTTTTGAATCCATTCAGCCGATTTTCTGATATTTAGAAGAATATCAGTAACCAGACAGTTTCTGGTCTCATTGGCATCCATAGTATTTTTTATTTATCCTACGACTGGATGCCACTGAGACCAGAAACTGTCTGGTTACTGATATTCTTCTAAATATCAGAAAATCAGCTGGAACGATGAAACTCAACTGTTTAACTCTGGGGGTGTTGTAAAATGAGCCTATTTCCAAAAAAAGTGGAGTATCCCTTTAAGGATTTTGGGAAGTGCAGTTCTTCACAGGACAAATGAATATAGCTAAAACTACACTGACTTGTGCTGAGGTAGATAACCTGTCTAGAAATGTTTATATGTTATGCTTATAACACCTCTCTATGAATAAATTAAGTAGTTGGAGCCTAATTACGTCTCTATATTGAGCAGACAGTAGCCAACTGCAACTTTACTGAAGAATACATACAGCCAGATTGACTGTAACTCGAACTCACAGAGCAGGAGCGGCGCGGCGGGCTCGCGCTGAGAGGATGCGCGCGCAGATCTCGAGCCCGCAGGCGTGAGGTCATCATTCTCGAGCGGAGA